TATATATATATATATATATATATATATATATATATATATATATATATATATATATATATAAATCAATTGTTTTTCCACTTTCACATTAAAATGAATTCGATTTCTGTATGGAACAGATATTAAAAAATATATAGTTTGAAATTAATAACTTTACATAATAACTTTTTGGAAGATCAAATACTTTAATAATATTTTGTCTAAATATTACGCTTTCTTTAAACAAAATTAAAGTAAAATACTGAACTGAAAGTCAAATAAAATATGAGAATACTTAAATATCAATATGAATTTTCAACGTTAATTTATTATCATATAAATAGAAGCTATAAAATGGCAACAATCTTAGTTGATAGCTCGAAAATTTGGTGATTTCGATAATGGAGTTACTTAGAGTGAAGTATATTTCGTTGCCAAAACTCTGTACTTTAACGTTGGCTCGGGATTTTGCTGATCTAGTACTCGTATAGCCGGTGGCTTGAACGCCGTCACTTTTTAATGATGTACTTTTGTAGGTCACCTACAAAATTGTAGATCTATTTTTAAACTGGTAATATTTTTAAAAATTTCCTATAGAAGATAAAAAGAAATCTATATTACATATGTATGATATGATTTTTTATAGCGGAAGAACAGCTTAACCTATGGTTAAACTTGTTTTTATAAGTTGCCATGATGTTTATTAATTAATAACAAAAGTTTAATCTATACATATAATAAAATTGTAACTAAGCCGAATCTGTACATTGAATATTTTTTAGAAAATCTTATTGAAATAGACTTTATTATCGATACAGAGACCGAATCTATAGTTTTTAGAATTTTTGTCTGTCTGTCTGTTACCGCATCACGGGAAAACCACTGGATAGATTTTGATGAAATTTGGTATGATAATAGCTGGTTATCCGGGTCAACATATAGGATACTTTTTAGTGCGGGAAAATATTTCATTTCTGAGAAAAATACAAAAACTACAATGTAAGTAAGAGTATACTAATATGTAAAACATAACAATTTGGTTTTTGATCATCTGAACGCGGGCGGAGCCGCGGGCTTTTATAAAGCTTAGTCTCAGAACGTATATTTTAAAAGATATAAAAAAAAGCTACGTTCCAAGAACTTATTTTTTTTAAGAATGCATGAATTAATTTAATACTTTCCAATTTAAAAAAATAAATAAAAGAATTCACTTTTAAGGTAATATGATTTTAACATCTTCAGCATAATCTTTCTTAAGGCGGAGATTAGTATACTAATATTATTAAAAGCCCACGCTTTCTGCGGATTTAATGGAGTGGGATTATTTGACTGTAGATGGTATAATTTATTTGGTCGATAGAGCTTCGCCGGAAGCTCTCTTGAAAAAATGTCTGCCGATAAAATACAAAGAGAATTTCCTGAAGTTACTATAGAACGCCAGAATGAATAAGGAGGATAATTGTTACAATACATTAAGGAAACGATAGAAACATTAAGGGTATTCCCATTTTTTATCAATAATGGCCAGCCGTAACATATAATCTTCCTTTTTTGGTGATAATGGACCAAATTAAATTTTTGAAAGTGGCCCCGTGGCTATATTATGTATTAAAAGCATTTAATAAAATGGACTTCAGATATTTTTACTGATTTAATAAAATTCTTTATTTATAATTTTTTTTTGAAATCTCTATTATTCAAAAATATTTAATATAACTAAAAGATAAGCATACGGGGTAGTATAGGTGTATAAAATTCCTTTAAAGATGAATAAATACATAGATTACTACCACTTATTTTTGATAAACTTCAAAACAAAATATACTCAAAGCGAGTGTACCTTGGTTAATTCTGTATGTTAAGCAACATATTTGCCACTTGTTCGTCGTATTAACACTTTTCTAATGAATATTTTAAAGGTGGTTTCGTATGAATTTCAAAAAACATACCTATTTCAATCCTACAGGTGACGTGAATATATTTAGATTAATTTGGAAGTCGGAGCTCGTTTTAAGGTTATATCAACATAATATAATATATCTGTTTTAGAGGCAGAGTTTTTAGTTGATTTGTTTGATCGCACTAATCTCAGGAACTACTCCTATTTAAAAAATATTTTTGCATTAGATAGCCCGTTTATTGAAGGCTATATATCATCATACTGCTACCTAAGGAAGCGGATCAGTAATATAATATTTAGTCTATCTATTCCGTACTATTAAAACGTATCTAATACGTACAAGAGGGAAGCGAGGGTGAGCGGCTAGTTTTATATAATATGGAAAATATTAAAGGATTAGTTCACTGTTACAAATTACCTTGTACGATTTGATTACCTTCATAATACTATGCTTATGTGAGAATTGACATAGAAACTCTTTGGTCTGTTACAAGCTAGTCACATAGAATTTAGAAATTAAGCGATTCCCATCCTGCGGGTAACATTGTAATTGACACCAATGGCCACTTCCGCTTGTTATATCCCTAATAATGATTTGATTATGAAGCAGATGTTATACAGTCGCTTATAATATAAATATTAGTTTAATTGTCATAAGATTACGGAATTTTGGACTGTATCTAATAGACTTAATAAGTGTTGTGCTATAGATTGACATACCTACATACAGATTTTTTATTTGTTATGGTCACTTGAGCTATTTTGCAGTACCTAATGGTTATTCTAAATTATTATATACTAGCGACTCACACTCGTGTCACTCGGGTTCGTTCTTAGGAATGTTTTAACGGTTAGTATGAAATAGATAGAGCTTAGACTGACAGATATATTTTATGATATATAGCCCATTATAGTCTTCGTCAATAAACGGGCTATCTAATGCAAAAATAATTTTTCAAATCGAATTAGTAGTTCCTGAGATTAGCCCGTTCAAACAAACTATGCCTCTTTATAATGTTAGTATAGATTTCGACAGCTTTAATATTCATGAAAAAAGATGATGTCTACTTAAAACACATATTTTGATTAGTCCACAGTTAAAAATAATTACATACATACACCTACATTAAGTATCTCCTTGTTTGAAGGCGGTGAAAATCTATAGGTATATAAATAGGCAAAGACGAAACAGTTCAATAATTTTTTCACCTCTTTTAGCAACCGATTTTCTTTTTTTTTTCAAATAAAATTTTGTTTAGTAGCTACTGGCAAGCTTTATTACATATATATTTAAAAATTTACAATTTTTTTATATAGATAAATTTTGTTCATATACCCATATTTTCCTCAAAATTTCAATAATGATTGTGGTCAAATGCCGACCACTCGGCGAACACGAGTAGGAACAAAACGATGTCTGCGTAAGTCTCTTAAAAGATCATACATAATATTATATTTTACCAGACTCGCTTCACACCTCAATGAAATATTCAGTGCGGCCCATGAACATGTTTATTATACGAGTATGTACATACAGTGTGTCTCTCGTCACGTTCACTCACATACTAATTCATAAGATAGTTATCAGGTCTAAAAGCACTTTAGCAGGATTGCCAATCCCGTTCAGGCAGCGATGTATTTGCATGATGACTACGTCATAACCACTCTCGACTCAGTAATTGGTTTCCTCGAGTGACGTTGCGAAGATGGATTTTAAAATAGCTTGTACCACATTTTTATTTTAAAACACTTACATAGAAGTTAAGGTAAAACGGAAATGTCTTTGAAAGTAATCGATACGAGTTAGAATCTAACGTTGAATTTATTTCGAGCTTCATTAAATGACATTATCTCTTCATATTTCTTCCAAAGTATTTGACCAAAAGCCTGAAACTTTTCATGTCAAATTTTGTTAATATCTGTTTCCGAGAATTAAGAGTGAGGTCGCTTCTTACTTTTACGGACGATTTAAAATGAGAAGACAAAAACATTTTCCATTTTGCCGAATCTCTGAGGTTTTCTGCCCAGCCTTCCTTATGAATATTATAAAATGCAAAGTCTGACAGTTGGTATTTTTGCTTATTCCTTAAGAGCCCATTAGTAAATTTATTAAGCAAAATATTATAAAAGTGCGCTATTTTACAAAATTTATCATGGAGTAAAGTTGTTCTTAAAGTAGCAGTATAACATAAATGTAAACATAATATAAATGTGCGAGATTATTAAAAATGATAAAAAATCCATGTAAAAATGAAAATGGAAAAATATTATTTTGAATGTAGTATTACCTAATAAAAACAAGAAATTGTCTTATAAACGGAGTATTAACTGAAGGGTACTCTAATCGCACGCTGCATTACCTACCGTCAGTAGCCCGCCCAGCTGAGATTAACGTAAGACGTTACCAACAGAACTGAGGGTCGAAATATCGCTATTTGTATTCTATGGTAGTTCCACGACTACTATCCTGGGGCACAGAAGTTTCACAAGTTCTGAGCCCTATTAATGAGACGATTAAAGTAAATTAGGTTAGAGGCGCGAACGACCAATTCGGACGTGAACTGATATCAAAACCTGATCCGAATTAAACAGTTTTCGGTGACACGTTGCGGTAAGATTGATGAGATTTGATTCTGAACTTTAAAATCACATTGGATTTCGAGTCAGAATCGACTTTATTAATTCCACAACTTTTGGCATTACCAGGAAGTTGAGATGACGGTGATTAAGATGTAAAATCAGTTATCAATAATTGTAATATTGTTGTTAAGGCGGACTGTGCTTCAAGATAATCGAAATTGTTTGTCTTCCTCTTAATTATCTTACAATTTTTTTATATAAGTACCCCAGAAAAGGGTATTTTTTAAATTTCGATACCATTGAGGTGATATGATAATATAATCTGAAAGATAGTAGAACTGTAGGATAGTTTTAATTCGATAAATTTATAAATTAAAGCTGATAGGCGCGTTTTTATTTTTTTAGAACTTGGAATATAAAAATATAAGTACATTTTAATTCTTACTCTAAAAGAATTCAAGGTAAACAAGATATTATAGATATTAGACGATAGCGTTACTATAAAAAAGCTTTAATCTTTATAGAAATACTTTTATACACTTACTTGCAAATTAACATAAGGTGCGTCAGCCATGACAGTCGGCACTATAAAACCTCCTTCTCCAGTAGACATGTCGATATCTTGACTGTATATATCTGTTTTGTCATCGTAAAGCTTCACTCGGACTCGAACCCGCTTCTCCGTGCTCATCGCTTCAACCTGAAGCAATAAAGATATATACTTAACTAATCTCTAACATTAAGTGGCGACCAACGCACAGCATAATCCGCCGAGTCTAGAAGTAAGAAATATTTCAGAAAAGTTCTTTAAGAGGGTTAAATAGCAGACGGAAATTAGTATGAAATTTTTGAGGTTGAAAATATGGAAGTTGATGTTATAGCGTCGGAAAGTACTTTATTTGTACTGCATCGGACACTATACTATATATTGGCGAAAGTTTGTATGTGTATGAACGTGAACGGCTAGACAGATTTGAATAAAATTTAGTATACAGATAGATAGTCTTATTGCTATGAGCAATCTCTTGCAGACAACCTTTGGTGAAAGGATTAGTGGAATCGTAGACGGGACAGTACAATTAACACTAAATACAGGCATGATGAACCGAACTACTACGAATTACGAATGATCTAAGAATTTAATAGATTAGGCATATAAACGACGAGTCATTTGGCTCAGTTTGTAGTGACCCTATGACTTGCTGTGCCAGCGGTCTCGGGTTCGAGTCTCGCTGGGGGCAATCATTTGTGTGATGAGCATAAATGTTTGTACTCCAGACATGGGTGTTTATAATATGTATGTATTTAAAGTTATATACGTATAGTATATCAACTATCTGGTGTCTATAACACAAGCTTAGCTTACCATGGAACTAGATGGTGATGTGTGTTAATGTCCCAATAAGTTTTTTTTATATTTATAAAGATGGACTCTAGCTTAGAGAAGGTATTGTGTGGTGTAAATTACGTTAATCTTTTCCTTTCGTACCAACTAACCAACAAAAAATACCTTTTTTTATCAATATATCTTACATAAACTTTTTTTGTTACATAAGTTAGTTACAAGTGTTAGTTACAGTAATAACTACAAATATTTACTTCACCAAATCCCAGCTATGACTAAAATGAGAACGATATTGCCTCGCCGACTTAGGCTTAATTAAGTTATTTTGACGACCCAACCTGGCTTAGTTCCAAACCTGCCGACATTTTGATATGAAATAGATGTAATTAAACACTATCAAATTAACGCTAATACTTAAGCGCCTTAACAGAAATACTTATTTTATCCTATAAGATATAACTTTAGATGCATTCGCGTATCATGATACGTTATGAATATTATGGCAACACTTCTAAGCCCCTAAAGACACATGCGCTCATAGTTTTTATTACCATAACGCGATGGAATATAATATACTCGTATAATATGGAATATACTCGTATAAGGCGAAACTGGATAGTTTTGTCTTTTTCATTTTCAGTTAACGGTTTCAGTTTTATCTATAAAAAAAACTGAAAATAATCAACTGTTGTTTTGCTACAATAGTATTTAAACAAATTTCATGGTATTGCCTATTAAATAAATTTTAGAAACGATTATTGAATTATTCTAATGACATCCATAAAAATATCCTGAAAATTTAAGAATTTTTATATTTATTGGAAACATTATAAGCAGTAGGTATATAAAAATGTTTTTTATTCGTTTCTCAATTACTTTATCAGACCCTGTATATATATATGACGGAGGAGGATTTAGTTACCTCTTTCTGTTATGAAACCATATTCTTGTTTAAAGTCACTATGTTCTTTCATTTACTTTTTATTGCTTATTTTGAATTTAGAGCAGAGATTTAGTCTCGAGCGGGGTCGAGACGCCATCACGACATTCTTTGCAGATACGTGGCTTAGTAAATTTGGTTGATCATGGTGTATCATAGATTTTCATCATGATATCATAATTTTGCTTTGATATTATAGTTGGAAGTCGATGATTGGTGACTGTGAACCCGCTAGCTCTAAATCACTAGAATTCCGTTTCAAGTTTATGATTAAATTCATTTCACCTAATAAGATAAACCTATGCCAATTAAAAAAAAACAAGTACAACAATATAACATGAAAGCTATAAAGAAAATTATACCTAGTAGCTAATTCAAAAAATTAACCATGTTCAAACCCTTTTATGCAAAAGTTATCATAATACAAGTTATTATACAGTAACAGCTGAGTATTCCACAGAGTAATGAGGCAATCAATCATAAGAACAAAAACATCCTGATAGTTATACTAATTCAAAACAGAGTGGTGCCGACAAAGAAATTATGATATAAAGCTTCTTCGTTAGACACGATGTAATTTATTATATTGTAGCGCTGCCAAGACAAGAAAGAATAGAGGGACGTGCCGAATACAAATCGATGTAAGCGAAATGGTATTTTGCAACGTTTTCTTTAATACGAGTGATGTAATTCACACTTTTGCTATTAAATTTCACCACTAGCTTATGTACGCGACTTTGTTTCAATTCGTTTTATAATATACTAGCGATTCACCCTCGCTTCGCTCTAGTTCGTCCCTAGGTTGATTCTCCATGCAAACTTTCATCCCCATTTTCACCCCTTTAAGTGTAGATTTCCGGGATAAAAAGTATCTTATATCCTTCTCAGGGTCTCAAACTATCTTCTTACCAAATTTCATCTAAATCGGTACAGTAGGTCCAGAGATTACCCCCTACAACGTCACAAACTCACAAACTTTACCTCTTCATAATATTATTTTAATGTTTAATTTTCAGAAAACTGTATCAAGAATTGCTTAGTAAAATTCATAGAATATTTCCCTTTTCATAATATATCAATGTTATGACTAACGTAGCTTTCCTCGAAATCTCGTACAAAGAGCATTCACGAAGGCTGAACAAGCGAAGTATTAGCTAATGAAATTAATTTGTAATTATTTCCGTCTTATTCTATATAAGATATTATATGGAGTATATAAGAGTGTGTGTTATATATAGTAATATACAGAACATCTAACTACTACTATAAAGAAAAAAGATTTGTATTTTTGTATGTTTATAACGAATAAACTCAAAAACTGCTGGACCGATTTAGATGAAATTTGGTAAAAAGATAGTTTGAGACTCTGGGAATGACATAGAATATTTTTATTCCGGAATTCATTTCTTAAGGGGGTGAAAATGGATAAGATGTTTGTTCTAATACTGTAAATAAGAAAATGTCTTTGATTATTCTTCGTTTACGCAGCCACTGAGTAACGGATTGATTGTGATTGATTCAATAGCATCAGTTTATGGGCCAGGGGACGGTATGGCAATAGGGTTATTTTATTTGCCTACAAGACGTAGTGGTTTACGTAAGATATTATCATATGACATGAATATATATGTATAGATTAAACCATAGGGACTATGCGTGTGATTTTAATAAAGGTGAAATATTTTTTTAATAATCTTTATTGCTTTTGAATTAAGCCTATATTGATATTTTTTATGTAATTTCTTTTTGATTAAGAAAATAATTATTGAAAAGTACAAATATAGATGGGAAATGCAAAGTAGTTGAAACGTAAGCCATTGATCAGACCGAATATGACGTCAAAGTATTATCATAATAGAGCGATTAGCAATTTTGTCGCTACAAATTAAAGTGATCATTTTTCAATGTATGAAACTATGACAGTTTGACGTCACGCCAAGCTTGCGAAATGGCGGGTTTAAAGTATCCGTATTGGTATGATATTTTTTTATAGATAGATAGATAGATAGATAGATAGATAGATAGATAGATAGATAGATAGATAGATAGATAGATAGATATATAAATACTTTATTACACACACAAAAGAAGAGTACAGAATATGAAAAGAAAAAAAATAACAGAGGCATGCAAAGGCGGTGTTATTACTATGAGCAATCTCTTACAGACAACCTTTGTCGAAAGGATTAGAAGAATCGTAGACGGGACGGTACAATTAACTAAATTTAAAAAAAAAAATTATACTTAGTTTTTTGGAACTGGATAATTTTTTTACAATTATATAACGATGTTATTTTATAACATATGTAGTACTATTGTATAAGAAATCACGCATATTCTCTATTATATAAATCAAATATACCTACTCAAACTTTTAGGTTAAAATATTACTAACATTAAGTTAAAAGTCCTAGTCATTAAAGTCCACGTATGATTTTAACACGAGCTACAGATGTAACAAGTATATTTTATCCACTACAACTTATATTACGTAACCAGCGCCTTTAGTGCCTATTAATTTAGCCGATAAAATACGGTATTTATTTTCTGACTTCAATTAAAAATAATTATATTTTTTAGCACTAAACATTTTTATTGGAATAAAAATAGCCTATAACACTCAGCGACATAGCTTCCTACTAATGAAAAATAAATTAGAATCGGGAGAATAGTTTCAGACACCTTTTTATAATATTGGTAATAGATAAGTAAATATTTATTACTAGCAGAACCCGCGGCTTCGGTTGCACTAAAACCACAAAAATCTTTAAAAAGGTTGGTTTCATACAAACTTTCATCCCCTATTCTACCCCCTTATGTGATGAATTTCCAATAATGCTAAAATACGTATTTATTTAATTGTATGAAGAGCCAGTACCTGTACCAAGTTTAGAGTAATTCTAATCATAAATATTTTTTGGGTTATTTTATAACGTGTTTTCCCGTGGAAATGGCATAATCTTCCGCGGCAAAAAGTGGCCTATTTTACTCTCCAGCCTTCCAACTATCTTCACACAAAAAAATCACGCCAATCCATCACTTTGATGTTTTGACGTGAAAGAAGGACAAACAAACAAACTTTAACATTATAATATTAGTATGGATATGGATATGGATTTATAGAAAAAATTATAATATTTTCCTAATTTATATTGTAATATGAATTTTTCCTACATCACTCGAAGTACCATTAAAGTATAACATTTATGAGTACTTTGTCAGTTTTATAAGGTACCATATGCTGGTAGAAGGAAAACTGTGCTCATTTAGGGTTGTGGGAAAGAAATATGTAAGAAGGGCTTTTACGTATTTATGAGTAGGCATATATGGCAGGGGTGAGCGTCACGTATTACAAATATGTAATAGTATTTATATATAAAGGTTTGGTGAAGTATGTAGCAGTCTTAGATATGATATGCCATACCATACTAATAAATATTCAGAATTATTTATCATTATCTCTTACTAAGCTCATTTCATTGTGGCACTCTCTAGCCTACAAACTATTTGTATGTAAAAATCAATCAGTCATTCTATTACGACATTAAAGAAAGAAACACAATTTCCCATTTATAATACAATAGCAGAAGCCACGGCTTTGCTCGCGCTAAAACTACAAAAAATCTCTAAAAAAGTAGGTTCATACTTAACTAAGCTTTCATCTCCTATTTTAGCCCCTAATAAGATGAATTTCAAAAATGCTAAAACACGTATTTATTTAATTTTATTGAAGAGCATTAATACCAAGTTTCAATAATTCTGATCATAAATATTTTTTTGGATTGTATTATAACGTGTTTTCCCGTGGGAAATAGATAATCTCCCGCGATAAAAAGTACCCATGTCACTCTCCAGCCCTCCAACTATCTCAACAAAAAAAATCACGCCAATCCTTTACTCCGTTTCGACGTGAAAGAAGGACAAATACACAAACAAACACACTTTCACATTTATAATAATTAAGTTTGATGATTGATGATTTTATTATAAGCAAAATATTACGCGTGATAATGAATGAACTTAGAGATAAGCTATGACAATAGATCCTTAAATATACATATACATTCTGTGTATATACTCGTATAATATATGAAACTTTGTGAGTATGGATGTTTGTTACTAATTCACGCCAGAACAGCTAAACGGATCTGGATTAAATTTGGCACAGAGATAGATTATTGTCTGGAATAACATATAGGCGTTTTATCCCGGAAAAATATACGTTTCCCGAGGGATAGATTTGTTTTTGTTTTCCTAGAGGCGAATCGAGGGTGAGCCGCTTGTCAGAAATATGGATACTTAGCATACTTAGTACTTACTCTGCCAACAAAAGGTAATCCAGGCTTGTATCTCCGTCGCATGCTATCAGCAAACTTCAGTTCGACGTAATGTTGTTCAGCAGCCGGAGTCGCAGGCGTAGTACTTCCTAAGCTAGATCCAATAGTTAGGTCAACACGTGCTGATCCTCCTCCACACTGTGCCTCTATCCTCCAAGTACCAGACCTGGCACCAGATGCAACGATCGCGCTTAGCTTTTTTACACCTGTTAAGGAAAAAACTAACAGTTAGTCTTTCTTAGTAAATTTTAAGAAATATTATTTTAACAGTAATAACATTTTTTCAGATTTATTCAGAATTTAGTACATAAATAGCGATATATAAATAATAATATTTGCAGAAGTTAAAAAACTGTGTCGAAATAACTAACATACACATTTTTAAGAAAATATTATATGATAATATTGAATTTTTTTAAACTAATAACTTATAATATATTACAAAAATAAATGAGCTTATACTTAAAGCTTTTTTAAGTTCGTAACCACTAAATAGTTTTCGACTCCATGATACCAAATTATCATATCATAAGCACTTTAAAAAATTAAAATAATTAGTATCACTATTATCATTTTAATGTTTAAATCTATACATATAATAAAATTCTAACTGAGCCGAATCTATACATTAAATATTTTTTTGAAAATCTTATCAATATAGACATTATCATCGACACAGAGGCCGAATCTATAGTTTTTAGAATTTTTGTCTGTCTGTCTGTTACCGCATCACTGAAAAACCACTGGAGGGATTTTGATGAAATTTGGTATAGTGATAGCTGGTTATCTGATTCAACATATAGGATACTTTTTATCGCGGGAAAATGTCTCATTTCTGAGAAAAAATACAGAAATTGGAATGTAAGAGTATACTAATATTTAAGCCTAAGTATTTAGTTTTTGGTCATCTGAACGCGGGCGGAGCCGCGGGCAATGCCAGTCCCATATAAATTTCTAGCAGATGACAGTTGACAACACAAATCGATGAATAAAATTATTGTCTGCGAAATCTACAATTTAGAATATTACTTTGAATTGGTGTTTTAGTGTTCAGGTCTTTTTAACTCAAGCACGGACCTCCCTTCAGTACGAGGGGGATCAGGCCATCGTCCACCGCGCTGGCCAAGTGCGGGTTGGCGGACTTCACATGTCTTTCGAAACTTGCTAGGTTCTCTCAGACATGCAGATTTCCTCACGTTTTCCTTCACCAAGACAAGTGGTAATCATCTTGGCTACCACTGCCTTTGAATTAGAAATAAGATAAATCTTAAAAATTTAGTCTCAATTGCGCCTTCAATAATTGTAGTTCAAGTAATATAATTCAATGTTTGTCTTTATACTCGTTGAAAGATAAACACACGAACATGGCAATTAGGTGTCTATGAGTAAACACGTATTTAATCTAGTTGCGTTGAGTCAATACTGTAATCATAGCAGCATAATTAGCCGTGCGATTTACTTCAAATTAGAATCATGTTATATGATGTTGCAAAACTAAAATAAATAAATAAGAATTTAGCACCTCCAGGTAAATTTCTAAATATTAATTAAATTTCTAAGACGGTAAATCTGTAACGCCTGCGTGTCCGCGGTCGGCGAGGGATGAAAAAAACAATTTTTAAATTTTACTATCGTTACTTTAGTAAAGTAGACAAGCAAGTGCGTAGCTTCGAACTGACTCATGGTAGATTTTTTAAATAAAACTATCTTTTCGGATTATTTCGCGGATTTATTTTGATTTTTGGTTCCCGACGTTTCGAATGCTTTACAGCATCCATCCATCCCGTGACCATGGATGTTGATAGTTTTATTTAAAATGTCAAATATTCGCGTAAATCCAAGAAACTATCATGGTAGATTTCTCTGGGCTTATTTACATACTGACTTTCTTCATGTCAGATAACACTGGCCTTAGATTAACTTGAATCAAAGATTAATAGAAATAAGTATATTTTACGCTTTAGTTTGACAGTCGAAATTGCTTTAAGTTTTAATAAAAGAAAATTATTATAAAAAAAATTGTTAAATGAAATCGGAAATTGTTTTTTTATTATATTAATAGAAGTATAGGTATAAACTGACCCAAACGTGTCGTCAAAGTGGGCGAAAACAATTATATTGGTAACAATTTCAGATCATTTAAAGTGAAATGCTACGCCACCTTACCACAAGTAGGTAGTAATGAGTGTGCGTCAACAGGTGCATTCTCTTCCATAGCTTAATGGGATAGACATGATGTGAGGCAGATGGTTTTACGAGCTCTTTAAGGCAAGGTAATGTAAAACCTCCAAAATCTTATCTCCGAGCTGTTACTTAATTTGCTCAAGAGAAAAACCAACCAAAAAAAAACTTTCGACTCATCTAATATACAAGCTAACTTCTAGATCACCAAACGCCAAAGCCATTTTATACGTGTTTTAAATAAAACTATCTTTTCGGATTATTTCGCGGATTTATTTTGATTTTTGGTTCCCGACGTTTCGAATGCTTTACAGCATCCATCCATCCCGTGACCATGGATGTTGATAGTTTTATTTAAAATGTCAAATATTCGCGTAAATCCAAGAAACTATCATGGTAGATTTCTCTGGGCTTATTTACATACTGACTTTCTTCATGTCAGATAACACTGGCCTTAGATTAACTTGAATCAAAGATTAATAGAAATAAGTATATTTTACGCTTTAGTTTGACAGTCGAAATTGCTTTAAGTTTTAATAAAAGAAAATTATTATAAAAAAAATTGTTAAATGAAATCGGAAATTGTTTTTTTATTATATTAATAGAAGTATAGGTATAAACTGACCCAAACGTGTCGTCAAAGTGGGCGAAAACAATTATATTGGTAACAATTTCAGATCATTTAAAGTGAAATGCTACGCCACCTTACCACAAGTAGGTAGTAATGAGTGTGCGTCAACAGGTGCATTCTCTTCCATAGCTTAATGGGATAGACATGATGTGAGGCAGATGGTTTTACGAGCTCTTTAAGGCAAGGTAATGTAAAACCTCCAAAATCTTATCTCCGAGCTGTTACTTAATTTGCTCAAGAGAAAAACCAACCAAAAAAAAACTTTCGACTCATCTAATATACAAGCTAACTTCTAGATCACCAAACGCCAAAGCCATTTTATACGTGTAATATTTGGTTTTAGTGAAATCGATAGCACTATTAGCAGATAATATTAATATAATTACTAATAAAAAAGAAGATAAAAAAATCAAAAATAATATTATTTTTATATCAGGCTTAAAATGTAAAATATATTTCTTAAAGTAAAACTCTTATTTTTTGCCACACTCGACCCAGTGACATGAGGCGTGCCTTCACAAAGTTTTTGCCTTCGGTTATGACACATGACTTCCAAGGGTTGACGAATATAATTAATCAAACCTAAGTCCCGCTGACATCAAGACACGACGTGTTTTCATTATCAATGTATTAAAACAAAAGGAAATTACTACATAATGGAACTTGAAGTATGTTGAACAAAACTGTTTTTGTAAGGATATTTTTATTTTTTGATATATTTTTTTTGTTACACTTATTTTATATAAAAAAAATATGAAGAACCCAAGAGTGGCAGCCCATTGGTAGCGCGCTCGCGTAGGAAACCAAGTGAAGCGGGTTCAAATCCCGAGCTATGCACCTCTAATATTTTTATATGCGAACTATTTCCAACATGATTACCACTTGTGTTGGTGAAGGAAAACATCGTGAGGAAACCTGCATGTCTGAAAGAATATAACAAGTTTTCGAAAGACATGTGAAGTCCGCCAACCTGCATTTAGCCAGCGTGGTGGACCCCTTGAAGGTAGGCCCAGCGATGGAACGTTAAAAAATGCTGCATACTATTTTCAACTCTTTTAAAAATCTAGTTTTAGCATTTGTTAATACAAGATTTTACTATCCATCTTAAGAGTTAATTTTAGTTAAAAAAATGGTTTCAACATTCATCAGATCACAACATCCGGGTAATATCTTTTATAATGGTTTTTGACAATTTTAACTAAGAAGAATACTATTTTATTTTCACAATATATAGTTTAAGTCTAAAATTAAATAACGTAATTATATTTCAATGATTAATATATTAAATAAATGCTATCGTTTTTCAAAGAATTGTCAAATCAAAATTTCTATCGAAACCAATCAAAAAATAACGTATTTACGAAAATAAGAAGCACTTTTTCTTAAGAAATATTGGCCCGAAATCTATCAAGAACCGTCATATAAAAGTAAAGGCGAGTATTGCAAAAGGTTTTCTATGTTAACACGCTGTGGAAACCCGGTACTGTGTCAGGTGTGCTCTTGATCCCTTTGGCATGTAAAAGAATTTCCGTGTCCCGCCACCGTGACGCCTTTTGATAAATCTATGACCTATAAACAAATGTGAGAATTTCTTTCACATCGACATTTCTATATCGAAACCGTAATGATAAAATGGAAAAAAATATGTTAACGTATCAAAGTTATCGTTATTAATTTTATATTAGACTAACATTGCCCACGAATCTGCCCACTTAGTTAATTTATACTGATTTACCGCGGTCCTAGAGGTCGTAGAGTGACTTTCTTTTTTTATATCTTTTTATATATAAAAGATAACAGAACCAATCTCAAAATAATGATAGGGACAATAACGGGCCACTGTCCCTTAAACAAACACTTATTTATCATTGGCGCAACGGACAGCCCTCTCTGCAGAGGGTGTTTAAGCGCTGTAGAATCAGTCGCTCACGTAGTCCTGGAATGCGTAGCGGTAACTTCCCAACGAAATGAAATCCTCGAACCGGTGAGGTCGCTCCGCGAAGCCTGTGAAGCTCCCAGGAAGCTTTTGCGCTTTTGGACGGAGTTAGGCTGGCTGAACTAGCCAGGATTCGCAACGTACAACGGACCAAATACGAGTCTAAGTGCGGAAAACGAGTCCAATATTCAATAAAATACAAAATAAAAGATATAAAAAGCAAAAAGATTTTTTCTAATAGGACAGATAGTTCTAGCGTTCGAACAAAAAATAAAGAAATTCTTCATTTTATTATAATATTATGTAATATACTTTTCGCTCGCTCTTCTTTAAATTAAAAATCATACCTTTTTACGATAAAAATAAGCAAGGTTAGTCTGACCTTAACTATTTTTTATTTCATTTGAATTAAACTTATCAGAAAATGTTCCATTAAACTACGTTAAGATGTTCTACTT